ACCGTGGAAGTCAATCGTGAACAATTATTAAGTACGTATTTCATTAGAAAAATTGGCTACATGATTCAAACAACGATGCCTCGTTTGATACGATTGCACCGGGCGTCTTATACTTTAGGCCAAGACGACTTAACGACGATTTAATACATAAGTACTACATACATACCATGTCCATCAGTCTCTGGTTCCCTACAGCACAGGGAATTCGAATTTGGGGCCGCATAGCCGTGCGTGACTGATTCACGGTTATAATCTATTCATTATTAATTCATTTCTGTTTTTCTCGTATGCCGTAGCACTGAAATATCTGGAGTTAAACGTGACAAAAACACATTTCTCCTTCGGCACGCGAGTTCTATGAATATCGTACACCACTTCAAAGAGGTCTCGGCTCGAACGATGCAAGTCTTGGCGGGTGATTTCCGTCACCTTGAAGCCCTCAGTTCAAGGCGAAACAAACAGCCTTACTCCAGTTTGGTTTACGTATTCTTTATGCTTTTTATAGAGGTCTTTGTACGAAATTGGGTGAGTTACGTGTTGATTTACGACGAAGTTGTGGTTGGTACTTCATTGATGTATTGGTTTCTTTCAAAGACCTTCATACATAAAGCGCTCAAACAGTTTTCAGGTAAGTTTACGACTGTAGTTATCAATACTAAATTTGAATTGTGCCAATCTTATCACTGAGAAGATCCGGTGAGAAACTCAGTGGGCTGTGTCTATGGGTTAATTCACTCATCGAGCCCTTCGTCGCAGGCAACGGGTTCGACGAGGACGGTGACGAGGACTCATTGAAATCTGAACGCCTTTTTTATTTTATTTACTTATTATTTGATACTCGCTAGTGACGCAGCTCGCCGTCAAAAGCTAAATTGATTAAAATATAAAACAAAATTGATAAAAAATTAATTGTAGCAAAATTTTCCTCTAACAGAGTTGCAAAACCTAAGCCCCTTTTTATTCCGAGTGGAGCGTTTTAAATTAATTAATACAGGGTCAGATGCTCTCCCTCAATTTGTGACTCGGGACGCAGGGCTGCCGTAACAACAAAACGTTTTGATCAAAATTAAACGTCTTTCAAAAAAAGTGTTTTTTAATTATTTTTTTCTTGTACAACACGATCAAACGAAAGTGACGGTTCAACTGGTGTTAAATATTTGGTTGGTTGCGAGCCGGTTTGCTCTGAATGAAATTTCACTTTTATCAGCCCTGTTCCTTCAAGAAATCGATCAGGCTTTGATGTCGCCGGCGATTTCGGAGAACGACTTTTTGTGCCGGGGTATTTTGCCTAGTAATTCGCAATTTCATCACATTCTCGTAGCGCGTGAGTTTCAGTCCTACCTGACACCGTGCCGCCTTCGTACGGAGGACTGTCAGTACCGTCTCTGAGATATAGATATTTGTTAATAAGATCGTGACCGCTCAGGGTTGCCATCAGCACCCATAGTTATTTCTTTTTGTAAATTAGTCGCTTTTAGCGAACCAAAAGTTCCAGACAATAATCGTAATTATTTTCTGCCTTTCTCAATATTATTGTTACGCACTGGGGTCGGGATAAATAAAAATTCTACCGAACTACAGATTAAAACTATATTAAAATTTAACACTTAGAACACTCACAGAGCACCTTATAATTCGTAATTCAGTTTGGCATCGAGTAAATCCGATTACTGTTTTCGTGCCATCTCTGCAACGCTTTTATAGTCGATACGACATCCCTAGATTTATCGAGAACATTCTGGGCAAGTCAAGTAGCTTCGATGTATGTTTCCTCTATCTGACAATAGATGGCGTTGTACTTCTCGACCGTTCTCGATTTTACTAGTTCCTTTGATAGTAGTTTCTACTATTCGTCGATAGATGGCGTTGATCTTACCAGCGTACGATTATGTTTATTACGTCTTGATGATACCAAATATGCTCAGGAATAACTTAGTCTGTCGTAACTTTGAAACTTATCATTTTTGTTTAAGAACCTATGACAGTATGAAGAGGCTAGAGTATGTCCCTGTCATTACCAATTTCTATGACTTCATAAGATCAACGCTAGCTGGTCTTCCTTCAACAACAGTAAATGTTAATAAATAAAACTAAATACATTGCATCGCAGCAATGTATTGAGGTTATTAATAGTACTTCTGGTCCCTTAGTATCCTTCGCAGATTTATGCGAAGGATACTTGAATACTTTGGCCACATCGCAAGGAAAGACAGTGACAACTTGGAGAAATAGGTGGTCACTGGAAAGGTCGAGGGCAAGCGACCAAGAGGCAGGAACCCGACCCGTTGGACGGACCAGATTCGTGCAGCCCTGGATACCACAGTGCACGATGCTCTGCACTCAGCTGCAGATAGGAACAGATGGCGGTGCACTATAAAAAACAAACTGTTTCAAGGCCATGACCACGACCCTCAGTAATGAGGAAACCGATGCAAGAAGGAGAAGGTCCCTTAGTAGTCGAAAATCGACTATTATTGAAATTATAAGTTTGAACATTAATAGTTGTTCTATTGTCAAAGACTATTTATTGTACTGCTTTAATCAGAAATTTCGCCAAGACTACACTATAGACAAACAGTAGGTTTTAATCTATTCTCAGTTTGACCACAAAAATTTGACACTAAACCAAGAGTATAACAAACACTCAAGTATAAAATAAAAAAATAAAAAAGAGTAGAGTAAAACATATATGTGTTGTGTCAAATACATGTTAGTGTGTGTAATGTTTTTATTTTATTGATTTAATAATATACTTTTCATGCATCATGCACTCCTACTCTATATTCTCTATAAGCGTGGGAAATTTCATACTCCTCCGTCTGCGCAATTTTCGTAAAAAGGAGTACGAAGTTTTTGCTTTACTTATTAATATATAGATAAATTAGTATACCTTTAATTAATGAAGGCTTCAGCTTGTCAATTAGCCTGTCAACGTGAGCTAATAAAAATAAAATGCTGACTTATGAAAAAACGCTGAACCCCTCTAGAGAAAAGGGCGCGATGAAAATTCGCGCTATTCTTTTGTTTACACAACACTTACAGAGTTCGTTACGAGGAAAAATGTTTTTTGTAACTGTATACTCATAAATATATACACTAAGGTGAAGAGAAAACAAGGAAGTATGTCTCATAAATAAACAAAATATTGGCTACAAACTTATTAAAATTTGAAACATGATGTTTGGAAACCCTACTTTTTTTTAATTGCTAGATTGCTGGACAAGCTCACAGCCCACCTGGTGTTAAGTGGTTACTAGAACCCATAGACATCTACCACGTAAATGCGCCAGCAACCTTGAGATATAAATTCTAAGGTCTCAAGTATAGTTAAAACGGCTGCCCCACCCTTCAAACCGAAACGCATTACTGTTTCACGGCAGAAATAGGCAGGGCAGTGGTACCCACCCACGCGGACTCACAAGAGGTCCTACCACCAGTAAAAAGGTAAAGCCTACCAGTAAAAGTCGAACAGGAAAAGCTAAAAAGGCCTTTATTTATACCGTCTTAACATATAATTGCATTCTTTTTGAAACGAAAAACTAACCTTGAATTAAACATAATGGGTGAAAGCTGATTAAGAGATCTGTGACTCAGTTTCCTGAAATTAGGTTTCCCACCGTAATTACTTCACCTTGAATACTTCAGGTTTTTTTTCTGGATGCTACAGTGTACAGGTTTCTGTTGAGAGTAATGAAAAAAACCAACATGAATGATACTCGCCCTGTGAGACAATAAGAACTGTACAAAACCAAAAAAATGCGTTAACCACAGCGAATCATTAGAAAACAACCTATAAATAAATTTCTCAATTAAACCACCCTATAATTGGTCGGAGCTCGATCGATACATTGTAATTTAAGTAATGACAATCCAAACAAGTGCTCGACCAGACCGAACGAAGCCAACGGAGCCTTCTAAATCCGGATTAGCACGTTGATAACGGAAATTAGGTCGTGCCCATAGAGAAATGTATTATGATGCTTCTGGATCAAATTTAAATTAATTTATACAGGATTTATTAGAAGCTTAAACGAAGACACGGTTGATGTGTCTATAATTCTGTTGATACCAATCAACCTAAGATACTTATCTATGTTTTTTTTTCTGCCTATGCTGATAGCCTTGAGAGGCTATTTCAGCTTCACCCTAACGTGTAGGTGAACTCACGGGGCTCAAGCCGGAGTGTTGCTAACACTGGCCCTAGCAAGAGCAGTGCTTCGCAGAATCTACTACCAAATCGGAAACACGACCCACTGAGAAGTTCCGGCGAGAAACTCAGTGGGCTGTGTCTGTGGGTGCCTATGCTAATAAAAACAGCTATCGAGCAGAATTGTCGAGAAAAATTTATACTGTCTCTCAGATATCAATGCTTTATGCAAAATACTACGAAACATGTGGGATATCCACTTCGATTCCAATTTCGTATCTGCGAAGCAACGATGCCTTCGAAATTACATGATCTCATTCGTACGGACACATTCTCGTGCTATTACCGATACAATGTATACGAGAGTCTGAATTCCATTTTCGTTTCGCTACGTATGAAAGTCTTCAGTGATCCGATGTTCAGAATATAGTCTGATGCCGTATGGTAAGATTTTCAAATGACAAACGAATTTTTCCTTAAAAAAAAACTATCCAAGAAACTTCCGATCGATATTGTTCGTAATCTTATAATAATCAATTTTGTTGTAAATTTAGAATGGCGTCTTGAGTCAATCGTGAACATTTGTTAAGTACGTGTTTCATTACAAAAATTGGTACCTTGCCTGCGGGATTCGAACACCGATGCATCGCTCGATACGAACGCACCGGACGTCTTATCTTTTAGGCCACGACGACTTCAAAAAGTGCTTTCTGTACACAATAAATTAAAAAGAACGTCTTCTTTATTTTTCATTCGAAATAGGTTAAAACGTAATGGCATCTAAATCTACCATCTAAAATGACACGTATGATGATACATATAACAAAATTGATTACTTTCAATCTTGTTACAGATTTGCAGTTTTGCATTCTTTCCTGAATAACTAGCGCTCGTACGTAATATCCACGTGACCCAAATGCTGTTGGTTTATGGGAAGACGCACTTACACCAGACATCATGGTTTGTATTTATGATGTGATAACTGCTGTTTCCTTGGCCACTTTATCATGCAGTGTTATAATGGTTGAACCTTGGCGCTTTTTTAGAATTATGTTCCTTGAATGAAATAATAAATTACCGGTTTTTCTTTTAGTTTGTAGTTGCTAGTTGTATTAATTTTAATGTATTTCATTGCTGTGTTTTCATTTTTAAACGCTTAGTAAATATTAGTATATTATTCAATATTAAATCAAGTATTAAAAACACAGTACCGGTAGTGTAAATTTTTGTATTTTTAATTTAGTTTATTAAGTCGATTACCTACAACTTAATTAGATTTTCTATAAAATTTAAATGATATTTATACCATTGCCGATGCAAATATCAATTTCTTTAAAAACGACAAAAGTATTCCTTATAAAATTTCCGTTAGCTGTCGGCTATATCTTATAACACAAAACGTGGCAATAGTGCCCATAAGTCAGAACGTGATATTTAACTATTCTTTGTATACTCAATTATACAATAATTAATTATAAGCACTACTTAACTTTTTAACTTATATTTAGCGAAAATACTATATTTGGATTTTCCTTGAATTTAAAATCATCATCATCATTCTTTCCTATTACCCTCTGCTGGGGTGTAGAGCTCGAATCAAATTCTTCTATTTAAATCGGTCTTGGGCAGTCTTTTCTATCTCCTCCCTCCAAAACACCTAGCTCCTGTTCCACCGAGCGACACCAAGTTATTCTGGAATTTAAAATACTGAATTGAAAATAAATCAAGTCATTGATCAAGTCAAGTCATTCAAATCATTGAATGTTTTCACGCTTGGCCTGATATTCTGATGGCTCATACATAAAGATATATCTGCTCGTCTCTCATTGTAATTTTGCCATCGATCCGAATATTTAATGGTGTGTGCTTAGTAAAATTTTGATCAAATACCCCTAAAGCCAAAGCTTCACGGTAATATAACAAGGTAATCTCATGATGTAAGTCTTCATGATCACCTAAGATTTACAGCAGGGTACCTACCCGCCCGGATTCACAAGAGGTCCTACCACCAGTAAGAATGATTTATGTTTTTTTATGATTTCAAGAATAAGTCAGCGTAGCTATTACACTAATCGCTCGTCTAGTAACTGACTCCCATAAACAGCGGACCCATCTACTCAGTTGGTGAAGATGCGAATTACCTGCAATCCATATTAGGGCGGAATGATTAGAAAATTCCTTGACTGGTATCCTGAGAAATGATGCAGAAGTCGTTACTCACACACATCTTTTTTTTTCTTTTTTTTATTGCTTAGGTGGGTGGACGAGCTCAAATATCGACGACATCAAACGACATCTTGCATACGTCTACGGGTAGCCCGTGAAAGTATGCTTTGTCGTATCTTAGCTTGCTGTCTAAATTATGCCAGTCTATTGCCTTTCGACTTACTTACGTACTCTGAGTGAGACACCTGGAGCCACAGTTCAATGTATCAAAACCAGATGGATTGGCTCGTCGATTCAACCACGACCAGTCTTTATAACCAAATTCCGTCTACCCAATTTGGTATGAATCAATAAATTCACAATATCAATAGTGAAATAATTCTGGTAAAATATGGGACGTTAACCGATGATCTATCTTCGCTAATGAGATTAAAGGATTGTATACGGAATACAAGGGTCGTGTGTTACGTGCTTGGAAACATAATATGTCTTGAGGTAAAAGAAGGAATCTTCATTGATAATTCAGTTTCGAAAAACGTGGGAATTACAGTTGTACCTCAACATACTATGAGCTTAATTCGTTCCGTAACCTTGTTCGTATGTCAAATTGCTCGTATCTCAAAGCAATTTACCCCATTTGAAATTAATTGAAATGCCATTAATCCGGTCCAAAGTCTCCAAAAAATCACCTGAGTCGTTTCTGTTAAGTGCTTTTGAATAAGTCATATTTATTTGCAAGAAGAAAAAAATATTTATAAATAACAAATACATATAATGATATTATGTTTTTTTACTGTTATTTTTTATCTATAATATGTATGTAAAGAAAAACCTTTATATACATATTCTATAAAAACATAATAAAAAAAAGCGAAGTGAAGATATTAACTTCTTCGGATCCATGGCTATAAAAATTAATGTGATAGTATTTTGAAAATGTACAATAAGCCAAAAACGCGAACCCAACTTATGAAAAACGAGGGAAACAAACGCACAAACTGAAGTCTAGTCTGAGGTTATTCAACATTATTATTATTATTATTTTATTGCTTAAATGGGTGGACGAGCTCACCTGGTGTTAAGTGGTTACTGGAGCCCATAGACATCTACAACGTAAATCCGCCATCCACCTTGAAATATAAGTTCTAAGGTCTCAAGTATAGTTACAACGCCTGCCCCACCCTTCAAACCGAAACGCATTACTGCTTCACGGCAGAAATAGGCGGGGTGGTGGTATCTACCCGTGCGGACTCACAAGAGGTCCTCCCACCCGTTTTTTTATATTAATCAAAACAACAACTTATCATTTAAATATCAATGAAAACAATGCCATAATATTACGTAAGTCATTTTTCACGACATAATTTATAAATAATTAATTTCAATTCGATTTTATATTGCTACTCCAGAATTATGTAGATTGAAAGCACAATTCGCTGAGTACACAAATACAGACAGTTCTCGAAAATTTTAAAACAATTAAACATAGTTGTGAAAATATTGAGACCTTAGAACTTATATCTCAAGGAAGTCCAGTAACCACTTAACACCAGGTGGGCTGTGAGCTAGTCCACAAACCTAAGCGAAAAAAAAAAAAAAAAAAAACCATTTACATTTATATTTGTATAGTCGACGGTTTTAACTCGTTAAAATATTTCATCTCATGATTTCATTTATTATTAGCGTGTTTAACAGCTTTCAAATTAGTTATAGGTATTCGAATATGTATCTCGGAATTTTTATTCGAATTTCACTCTTATCAACTGCATCAACATAGATTAAAATAGCTTGCAGGATTTAATCGAAAATTTATAGCCGGAAAAGACGGAAATTCAACGCTGATCTAAAATAAGTCAACACTGGAAACTCGTAGCTCGTTCTGTTGAATAAATACAAACAAACAAATTTTTAAAAGCATTTTTAGAACGCGCTGCTATATTTTCAATTTTGTTGTACATTGCGCCTGTAACATACATTGCTAATTTTTAAATGTCAAGTTTTTTTTGTATTTCTGTACGTGGAGAAAGGAGCTCCCTGTATTAATTGGTCGCCGGAGAAGATAGACATCACATAAATTCCATCATATTCAAATCTGATATCTTAGGTTTAATTTTATTGTGCTTATAGCTCTACTACAGCCTTTCCCAAAGTGGGCGATAACGCCCCCTTGTGGGCGCTGGAGGACCCAAGGGGTGCGGTAAGAGACCCAAAAAAAATGGAGGCGTTCTGTAGAGGCCGGGGAGGCGATTTGTAATTTCATCTAGACACCGACTGAGCTCTCGCTATAGTGGTTCTTAAGTAGGTGAAAAAATGGGGGCGTTAAAAAATAATTTATTCTCAAAGTGGGCAGTAGACAAAATAAGTTTGGGAGCCGTTGCTCTACTACCATCTTGAAAACCGAAACACATGAAGATAGTATCTAATCACACCTCTATTATAATTAATTGGATGTCGCATCCAACAAATTAGGATTTGATTAAACTGAAGTAAAACACATTCGTCATTCGATATCAAACAGTACCAGTCCCAGGTCAACTGAAATACCAAATTTTTCTTTTTTAATAATCAGTTTGTTTAGGAAAAGGGTCCGAATTCGTGCAAAAAGTGTTTACGAAACAGAAAATTAGTTGGGTGACGATATTTATGGAGCCGGAATTTAGCCCTCCGGCTTTTCACAAAATATTATCATGGTAATTCACACGATGTCCTTATTTCAACATTGCGCAATTTTTTTTTTCTCTTCTGTTTATTCACGACTCATTATGGGTCATTAACTTGAAACAATCCATACGGCTTAGAAGGTTTTGAAATAAATTGATCTAGATAGGCCCACAATACAGACAGTGTATTGTGAGATACATGTACATGCCATTAGAAAACCTGGCTGAGCATTTTCTCGCCCACTTGTCCTGGTGAACCTGGAAAGGCCGTCGGGACCAGTAATCTTTCAATCATAAAATAATAATAATAATAAATTAATAAGTTTATTTACAATTTTAGGAAACATTATAATGCACTACTTGCTTATTATGATTAATAAATATAAAAAAATCAACCCGTCTTAAGTGCTTCTAATAATATTCTACTAGTGATGTATTTTATTAATCTATTAACCACAAATTTAATTTAAATGTCAATCTTTTAGAGAACTTTTTCAAAACGATGATATTCCTACAGACTCCTATCAAAATTCTGCCTTTTGCGGTTTGCGAAAAATAAATATGTATGAATTTACTATTCGTTGAGGAGTATTTTTTGGTTCAAACGATATTAAGGTCGACTAGAGGCCGTACCGGAATATCAATATTTACCGGCCAATGAAGAAAAATATGGGACTAACCTAACCAAGCGTAATGTGTTTCGCGTTCCACTTTCAAAGACCAAATACTGGAAGAGATGCTTCAAAAATATTTGTTCAAAATAAAAGCTAAATGATTTTTAATTTTAAAATAAATTTAGCTCGAATACTAAATTCTTGTGTTGTAAATGAGACATGAAAAGTTTTGTTTCTGGTATTTTGGTGCTTCAACGAGGCAATCATGAGAATGTAAAAGTAACCCTGCTATATAACACGGTTCTACAGACAAGAAAAGAAAAATTCCCCAAAACCCTCTTATAACTGGTGGTAGGACCTCTTGTGAGTCCGCACGTGTAGGTATACTGTAACTATACTTGTAACTATACTGAGACCTTAGAACTTATATCTCAAAGTGGGTGGTGCATTTACGTTGTAAATGTCTATGGGCTCCAGTAACCACTTAACACCAGGTGGGCTGTGAGTTCGTCCATCCATC